CAGAGCCTATTCACTGAGGTATTCTTCTATGCCTGGTCCATTGCAGGTCTGGAGCATCAGGACCATTTGGATCTCTCCTCGGGCCTATATCCAGCCAGCCACCAAGTCCTCTCTAGTCTTCTGCCATGTGATCTCTGTATTCATCAGCCCTCGTGCTCCTCATCATAGACCCCATGTGGCAAGTTCCTCTGGAACTCATCTCCCAGGAGCCGTGCTCCCATCTCCCACCCCTCCTGGGCACTGGCACCAAACCTAATTGAAAATGACTCCCCCTCTGGGTTTGTCTGGGCAAAACAGAGCCTGGCCTGCAGAAGTGCCTGTCACATGCTAGGATGAAGATGGGCCCAATTCTTTGCTGCTTCTCCCATCGGGCAGCGATGCTCAATTTCCTTCCCCGGGAATCTGAGAATCTGAGTTGGACATCGAGACTTGCTTACTGAAAAGACTAAGATTGCAACAATGGTGTGAGATTTCTCTGGCTGTCATAGGCCACCCTCTAAATCCCACCCAGGCCTTTTAGGATACCTTCTCTTGGAGCCACGGGCTACCAGGTAAATCCAACTATTCTATAGCCCTCAGGCTGGGAGAAAACTCAAGCCACATGGAGAAGCGACTTGTAGGGCCTCTAATGAACATGCTAGCTGGGCTCCTGGCTGATAGCCAGGTGCTAGAAGCCACTTTGGAAGTGGATCCTGTAGCCCTCAGCCGACACAACCAGTATAAAAGATGAACTGTCCAGCTGAGCCCTCCCCAAATTCCTGGCCCACAGAATCATGAGCAAAATAAAATGGTTGTTTCAAAACTTAATTTTGGGGCAGCTTGTTGTATACCAATAAATAATCAGGACTGTGCTCAAAAATGTTTACTGAATGAGTAAATACTTTCTTTTGCTAGTGTGCTCTAACGGTGTCCCTGCCCTATTCGAGAGCTCTCAGTGGCTTCCTATTGCTTAAGAAATAAAGTTTGGTGCTGTAGGTGGCATTTAAAACCCTCCCAGTTTGGCTTCATTCTGTGTTTCAGACTTTATTGCTTGCTCTTCTCGGCATGGATCCATCCTATGCTAAAGTTTGTTTGAGCTATTTCCCAAACACACAAACACCTTTCCAGCATTATGCCTGTATATATACCCTGTCCATCCAAAGGCCCTGCCCTCCCCCATGCTTGTCCGTGGCTCGAAAGTCAACTTGTTCTTGAGACTTTGGTCAGATGCCTTCTCTGGTTTCCCTCTCTAGCGGTGAGCTCTCCTTTCTCTGGCCCAGGTTTTTTGATGGCTTAGCTCTTATTTCATCACTTACCACGTTCTTCATTTCTTACCTTCTCTACTGCGTTGTAAACTCTTTGCACATGGGACTGACGGGGGAGGTCCTGATGGATAACAGGGTACACAAAAATTGGGTGGCTCACCAGATACGCATCCCCAGATAGCCTGAGTTGAGATTTAGCAGCACACCTGTGGCATGCGTGGTGTCTCTCAAACCAGGCACTTCAGTCCTTCAAGAAGGAATAGTTAGAAGAGGCACACACCGGTGTCAGCTTGGATTTTGAACCATTTTCGGTCTATGGCTGTGTGGTTTTGGGCAAGATGTTTACATTCTCTGAACTCCAGTTACCTTAGTTAGAGACTAGAGACCTTCAGTGAGGATTAGTGCAAAGGGTTTAGTCCAGTGTATCATAAACTATTGACACACACCTTGCTGAGAGGTACAGCAGAATAATTGATCAGTTTGCTGAAGATCTGTTGTTACGCTGACTGGGGAGAATTCTCTCCCACCCATCAAAATTAAAACACACACACACACACACACACACACACACACACACACACACACACAGGAAGAAGAAGGAACAAAGAAAAGGAGAACAGCCAAGAGAAGAGAAACAATAGAGACCACCTAGCCAAGCCCAACTGCAGTTGTCCATGTAAGGGAGGTCTCAGTCTTCTCATCCATATATTGAGCAGTGGACATTGGAATCTAAGCTCCCCTCCAGCCCTGACATTCCAAGAGCATTAAAGGAAAAGGATGAATCACCCCCTTCAAAATACCAATATAGGCTGGGCCCTCCCCCTGCGGTCCCCAACCAGCAGGCTAAGAGCTCTTAATACACAGCCAGCTTTCTGCTGCAGCTGCCACCAAACTTCAACCCCCTTTCCCAGGAGTCTCCGAAGCAAGACTGATAATGGGCCCCTGGCTTCCCCATCTCAACAGGGAACCAGATCCTCTTCCCAGACTCTGGGGGCCAGCCGGTCCTCCATGGAGGAGGGCTGGCTTCCCCTGGGCTTTCGGCCTTAGCTTGCTCCTGTGTGGCGTGTAGTGGGGGTGTTGGAAGGGAGGGAAGAAGCAATGAAAGAGTTGATGAGTGAAATTTCACAACTATGGTGGGAGGGACGCGGTGGTGGGAAACCCGTCATTCATTCTCTTCCAGGATTTGAAAACTATCAGTGTGCACGTATCTGTAAGAATTATAAAGCTCCACCCTGAGGAGGCATTGTGCCCCTCCAGGAGCTGAACAAATTCCTAGGCTGTCAAAGCCCAGGGAAGACATGTAGATCAATTTCCTCCTTTTAGCAGACAGGCACTAGGTGACAGCAAGAGACAGTTCTCCTGCCCCTGTGCCCGGCATTCCCTCCTCCTTCCCGCGTGCATGCTATTATTAGTGTTATAGTATTATCAACATTAATCATCCTGGGGATGAAACCACCACATGCGCTTCAGGCACGCGTCCCAAGACCAGCACCCCCTCGGTTTCCTTCCGGGACTGCCTGGATCCTGCTGGGTCTCCTCTTCGTGCCGAGAGCCGCGTCGCCGCGCCTGCCCTTTGGGTCTGTCAGTCCGGGGGTCTGTGGCCCGTCACGTCTGCAGCCCGGCTCCTACCCTGAAAACGGAGAAGCTCGCCGGCTGCGAGCGGGTTTTCCAAGTGGGCCAGGCGGGGAGGAGGGGCGCGGGCGGGCGGGCGGGAGGAGGAGGAGGGGGCGTCGGAGGGAAGACCTCGCATTGTAATCCAATGACATTGCCAGCGTGGGGGTGGGGGCGCTGGCCTCGGCGCGCTCTCCTCTCCGGGTTTTGGCTGCCCGCCCAGCTGGGAATAACTCTCTTCGCATAATTCGCGTGTTTACCAGGCATGAAAATTCTTGCTTTCGGCTCCCCCCTTCTTCCCCGAGCCCCCTCCTCTCCCCTCCTCCCACCTCCTCCGCCCCTCGCAAGTGAAACTCGGTCTAAAAAAATATTGGCCCCGGGGCGCAAAAAGTTTTGCATAAATTCATAAGTGATGAATGGCTGATTTTAACGTTATTTGGGTATTTGTCAGAACTTAACAAATATACATGGGGACGGCGGTTCATAAACTTAAAACATCTCAATATCCCCTTTCTTCTGGAAATAAATTACGTTTGTTTGCCCGGCTTGGAGTCTTAAGGTAGCCGACATTAGGAATATTTTAAAAGCCATCATCCATCGAGCATGTCTCCCAGGCGCCAGGAAGATTAAATGAAAGAATCATAAGATGGAGGTCTTTAACTTTTAATCCTTTTACAATGAAGCCTCAGATAGTCGCGGGGGCAGGGTGCCCTCTCTGGGGGGAATAATGCCGTTATTCCTCGGCTCTCAGTTAATGAATACCCTAGCGTCTGTCCCACGGCGGACGCACAGCGCGGGGAGGGGGCCCGGCTCCGGGCCGGGCTATTGAAACGCGGAGCCGCCGGGGCTGCTCGGGAGGGAAGAAAGCGCCGGGCAGGAGGGACCGGGCGGGCGGGGGCGCAGGGACCGCGCTGGGTACCCGGCACAGGTTGGAAATAATTAGCATAGATTCGCCGGGACTCCGGACTCGGTGGCGGGGAGCGCGGGGAGGGGGGGGGCTTGGTGGTGGCGCAAGGAGAGGAGGTGGCAGGGTGGTGGGGAGGGAGCAAAGGAGAGCGACTTTGGAGTCCAAGATAAATAAAGGGAGCGGGGAGCGGTGTCAGGAAGCCGGCCCACGTGGAGCTGCGCGGACGGGCGCCACCGCCGGGAACCGGGCGGAGGGACGCGCGAGTCCAGCGCGGCTCCCAAGAAGTTGGTTTGGGAAGCGGGTGCATGCAGGGCCCTGGAAGAGATCACACAAAGCCCTTGGTCTCATCCGAAAGCGCAAAGAGCCCGATTCTGAACTGTCCTCCCTGCCCACCCGCCACCAAATGGTGTAGGTGCCCCGAATGGGGTGGGGCGCGGAAGGGGGGAACGTACCCCCGTCCCAATAGCAGATCTCAGAGGTGGCGACTTGTAAGCAAATCCAGACCCCTCGGAAACCTTGTACCTCAGTGTTTTCCCAAGGGTAAGGGAGGCCAAGGTGAGTGTCACATCTCCCGGTTATCCATCCCTCGCAGCTCCCGCCCAGGGCCTAGGATTTCGGGGGCTCGACCTGCAAGATCCCAAGGCTACGAGGTTGAGTCCCAGGGATCTCCTCAGTTCTCACCGCTCTCGCTTCCGGGAGCGCAAAGGGTTAACAGGGGCTAGATAATTGAGGTGGGGGGGGTACAAGGCGGGAGGGGTGGTGGGATCTGGGTGGGCTCGCTCTGATCTCCCTCCCCCCCATTCTTCGGGGGTCAAGTTTCAGCGGCACTCCGCCCCCAGGGTAGGTGTGAAAGACACGTGTCCCCATTGTGAAGGGCCTGTCAGGCAGGACAAAGCAGCCGCCCACCATCCCCCCCACCCCGCCCCTCGGCCCAGCCTGGGGTCACCTCCAGGGGGCCGGCTTGGTGTCGAGGTCACTCTAGGCCCGAGCTTTGGTGACTTAGGGGAAAAATGCTGGGAGACTGAGCAAAGGCCACGTGATTTATAAAAGAGGGGTTTGAGAAAAAAACGCACCCTCCCCCATTGAGAAACTGCAGTCACCTCCGTCACCCCCCAGGAAGGGAGTTCGAGGTGATGAGACCCTTTTCCCAGTGGGCGGGTAGGCGCGGCATCCCCTACCCGCCCCTCCGGCGCACCCCCCCATCAATCACCAACACAGAAACGCAGTGTGGAGCGCAGTCGATTTTAGTGGTTTTCTTTAATCCTGGTCTGCACTTCGTTCTCATTTACTACACGGGATATTATAAAGAATAAATAGCAGATACTCTTAATTTACAACGATTAGTCATTCCATTTGTCCTCTATATTTACAATACCTGTAAAATAACATTGAACTCTATAGCTTCTTCGAGGTCCAAGGAAAAATCAAAACACTTTCCGAAGAATGGAAAATAGCTTTTAAAAAGTCCATCTACAAAAGTTCCCCCTCTCTTTGTACTTTAAGAAAAAAATAACTTTCCCCCCTGCTTCGCCATGCGAAGGGCACTGGAATATAAATAGCAGGTTAACATTATTAGCAACAACCAGAATAAGTCTCTCTTTTCTCTGTTCTTTTTTTTTAACTTTTGCTTATTTTTTTAAAAAATACAGTAGAAGCCGGTAACTTTTAACGTATAATACTGACCTTTTAATAAGTAAATTAAAACTGAGACCGTATATACACACACATATACATTCCTACACAGTTAAACAGTGCATTACATCAACCAGAAAGCTAGGTCTCCGTAGCCAGAAAAAAAAAAAAGTTCATTGAAAACCCTCGCTAGAGGGTGGTGGATCTGGTTGGAGGCGGTGTGGGGGGCGTCGGTGGGGATCCGTCAAGTGTCCGGGCGCGGGCAGGGGGCCCCCGAGTTCTAGCACGAGCACTTGCACTCGGAAATGATGGGGTACTGGATGGGAATCCAGCCGCAGCGCTGGCCCCCGCGCCGCTGACAGCGCCACCGCAGCACGGTGAGGTGCACGGACTTGGACGGCTTGCAAAGCATGCCCTCGGGGACGGAGCACGAGCGCTTGCTGAAGCAGCTGCCCACCTTCACGTAGCGCGGCCAGAAGCGGCTGCCCAGGTCGTTCCACGCGTACAGCACGGGGCAGAAGGTCTGCGACCACAGCCACATCTGTAACTTCCTCCGCAGCTTCTTGCTCAGGCGCTGCTTCTTGCCTTGGGCCAAGCCCTCGGAGAACTCCAGCCCTTTGATCTCGCTCGGCATGGCCCCCGACGGCCGCTGCCGCAGCAGCTGGTCCAGCTCCGCCAGGTCCTCGGCGCCCCCGGCGGCGCCCCCGCCCCCGCCGGGCCGGTCCTCGGGGGGCGAGGTGGCCATGAAGCCCGGGTCGTAGTGGCCCCCGAGCAGCGAGCGCAGCAGCGTCTCGTTCAGATCCTTCTCCTTGGGGTCAAAGATAGGGTCCGGGTGTTCGATGAGGTCCACCAGGGGCAGGTTGTCGCTGGGAGCCGGGCGGATGTGGAGGTAGTGCTGGCCGCCGGCCGGCGCGGCGCGCAGCCCCAGGACCACCACCAGGGCGTAGAGGGTGACCCCCAGGCCGGGGCCGCGCTCCATGCCTCCGGCGCGCGCCCGGGGCTGCC